GCAGCACCTTCCCATCCAGCCCACACAAAAGTAAAGCACATATTAAAATCACATACAGCCATAACATTTTGGGTAGTGATACCTTTTCTTCCAATATATGGTACTTGTCTTTCTCTAGGCACGATTACTGGTATATGTGTACCATCAATTGCCCCTATGCAATCTTTGAAATATGGCCAATATCGATCATCATCTTTAATTTTATCCGGAACTCTCCTAAATTGTGCGTCTTGTGGACTTATGATATCACTAGCCATGCGACAAACAACATCTAACATTATCCCAAACCACCTTGACACCGTCTCACCAGAATGTTGGAACCTTTCTTGGACCATTCTATTAGTGAACCCATGACCTAAAACGATGAGGAACATTGATAATGCCTCAACTAATGGTATATCTCCAACTTCTTTCAAACCATATGAACTTGTAAGTGTCTCTACCAATTTTATAAAGACATGTTTTTCCATCCTAAATTGTTCATGGCACCTTACCTTATGACCATTTAAAACATCCATTACCCATTTATATCCGGTATGCGAAGAAGTCCTGCATGGTTCTTTGTCAACATATTTAAGCCATTCAGAAATAGCTACAACACATCCTACAGAAATCAACTGATAAAATTCATCGTCACTATCATCTGTACAAGAGTGTGTACTATTTCCATCACCATCACTAGAACTCATCTGTAAAAATAAAACAAAAAAACTTATATATACCTATTTATATGTATGTATGTATGTATGTATGTATGAAAGAATGGTATATTAAAATAACACTTCCACCTCATTAAAAAAAAAAGGAAAAATAGCACTCAAAATAATAACTGAATATGACAATAAAAAAGATAAAGTACAGTTAATAATATCAGTTCAAAACCACTCAAAATTTTAAGACAAATAAGAAAGTAACCAAGACTAAATTTAAACTTTCTTGCTCCTAAGCCACATAATTTGTCGGTTGGCTTGCCTTAATGCAACAAACATCTCTCTATTCTTTCTTTCAGTCAAGACATCTGCAGCTTTCACGAAAAGCTCATCATCCTCAACAATTTCAGGTATGCCTTCTACAACTTGCATAACTTCTTCAATGCTACAACCAGGCTTGTCGTTGTTTCTAGAACTTCGATTTGCTACTGACTCTAAAATAGAATCTAATCGCTTTATCACCTTCTCCCCAACTGCAGGTTTTTTACCATCCCTTTTTCTTTTTGCTTTATCTTGTGTGGAAGTTTCAATATTAGGAGAAGTATCAACAGCATCTATATTATCAAGGCCATCATTAAACTCCAGACCATTCTCCAAGTCATACACACCATCTTCATGACTATTTTCAGTTGGACGAGTTAGTTCATTCTCAACATCATAGACAAAACCTTGTGATGGTGCCCCAGCTCCATCACCCGTCACCGCAATATCCTTAAATAAAATGTCTAATTGATCAGCATGTTTCAATCCACATGTTCGAAATTTTGCTGCTTCAGGAGTCTCCTACAATAATATCAACTTAAATGAAAAAGTTCTAACAAAACTATGTATATTAGTTTTAGGTCTAAGAAAATGTAACTCAATTGTATGACAAGAAATTCACCTTCACTTTCTTGTCCCACCATTCGTTGCTAGCATTGATGGTTTTCTTCACAGGATCCCATCCTAGACCAGTCTCTTTTCCAACCAAAGATGTCCACAATTGCCAATCTTTCTTAAGTCCAGTCCATTTGTTCTTGAGTTGCTTTTGAGTGTAGGTCCTTTGAGTCAACTCACTAAATTTCCTTATAACATTTTTCCATCCTTGCTTACTAAAATGGCCACCTGGTCGATTTCCAGCTATTGTCTCAACAACACAAATTTTTATAAATGCATCAAGAGCCTCATCATCCCAATGAGCCTTTCCTTGTTTCTTGCTTTCTTCTCCACATTCATCTTGTGATGGTTTATCCATATTATTAGACATTACTCTATTAAGAAGATTGTACAATGAACACAAATTAAATATTTTCTATGCAACTATTATTTTTTTGTCAAAGAAAAAAACTGTAGAACTTAATTGACGAAAAAACTGAAAAAATAAAAAATAAAAACTATTATTTACAGACCCTGCTACTGACTTTCAAAACATAAAAAGTTCAGTCAAACCCAACCTGCTTTCAAGTACTAAGCATTCTATCAATTTAAAACTTTCAAAACATAAACATTTCATCAACAATCCTA